CATCAGTCCAAGCTACGCCCCATCAGTCCAAGGTTCGTTCCCTTTTGTCCAAGGGTTCGTTCATTGGCCTTTTCATTATACCTACCTAGACTTGGTAGTTTCCCAAAATAAGGTGACCCTAATATAGACCCCAAAATATTACAATCCGTAGTATGGAGACCCCCAATAAGGTGCCCCTAATTTTGGGAAACCTCCCGAAATACGAGTTACTTTACCCTGAAAGTCTCTAACCAGCCCATGCTTTGGGCTTCGGGGGTTCCTGGAAAGCCCTAAACCCCCAAACCCTAAACCCACCACACCCAAAGCCTTGAATTGTACAGCCTTAAATCCTAAACCCAAAAACCTAAACCCCATATAATGCCCCCCTATATAATCCCCTACATAGCCCCCCCTTAAAGAGTTTAGATCCTGAATCCTACATCCCCAAACCCTAAACCCTCAACCCTAAGCCCCAAACCCCAAACTCTTAAGCCCTAAGCCCCCTATCATAATACTCCCCCATATACTCCCCTATATAACCCCCTTTAAAGAGTTTAGATGCTGAATCCTAAGTCCCCAAACCTTAAATCCCCAAACCCTCAATCCTGAACCGCTAAACCCTGAACCCCTATATCCCACTGCCAAGGTAACGGCAAGTGCCAAGAAGCGGCTGCGACTGAGCTCTCATCCCTGCGGCTGCCCTTCGGCGGCAACAGCCAGGGAAGTATGGTAAGTTTACCCGTTTAGGGTTTAGGGTTGAGGGTGCTCTGCAGTGGCAACGGCCAGGGAAGTATACTGGGGGACATAGTAATAATGGAAAAGAAAATGGAAACTACTATATTATCTAGGGTTTGGAAGTGTGGTAGGTTATATTGGGGTTAGATTGGGGTAATGGAACATAGAATGGAAACTACTATTTAGTATAGTAAGTTTAGGCTTGGCTTAGTAAGGAATGGAAAGGAACATTGAAACTGCAATATTTAGGGTTTAGGGTTTAGGGTCGAGGGGACTTAGTAAGTAGGTTAATGTTGGGGTTAATCAGGGTTACTATAATGGTTATAGGGCCTATCAACCTACTTACTTAGTCGCCCTGACCCTCCAAGTAGTAAGTTTAGGGTTCTCAAAGGCTAGGTGTAGGGTTTAGGGCTTAGGTTTTGAGATTTAGGGTTTGAGGTTTAGAGTTTTGGGTTTTGGGTTCAGGGCCAGAGTGCAGGGTGAAGGTGAGGGTTAAGGGTTCGGAGTTTAGGGTTCAGGGTTTAGGGGACAAGGTGTCACGGCTTAAGATTTGGAACTTAGGGTTCCGTGCCGAAAATTCAGAGCTTCGGTCCTAAGTAAAGCGGAGAGAAGAGAGCATGTGGTTTTCTTGGGGATTACGGTTCCTTTTCGGGGGCGTTGCGCAATGATTCGAGGTGTGTAGGTACATGGGCTGTCAGACAGACGATCTGGTGGTTTTACTCCCGTCAACAATGGAGAATCAGATGGAAAACAACATGGAAAATGACATGGAAACTGTGGTTATAGGGTAGTTTATAGAGATTATAGGGTTTAATGTGAGCTGTGGTCTGAACTCCTACGAGCGGTGTTATTTGGGGGATCGTATAAGGGACTGTGATAGGGGGATACTAGGAGTGTAGACTGTAGCTCATATGAGCCTGCCACATAGTCTAATCAGGCTTTAGGGTGCGGAGTTTCCTGCTCCCCCAACCAAGAGTCTAACCACGCTACCTAGTCATGCCGCCCCGATATGAGCTACATGGTCGAAACTCCTTAAAGGAAATATAGGGGAGAGTTAGTTATAGGGGTGATAAAGGGGGATACTAGGAGTATAGGCTACCGCTCATACAGCGCTGCAATCTCAGGAGCCCAAAGCAAAGCCTGCAAAGGTCACCCTCTGCAGGGGTGATAAGCGTGTGGTCACTAAACTCAACGCCTCAACCCTTTTTATGCCAAAAGCAAAGCATCAGACCGACTTCCGAAACTTTGTTGTAATCCTCAAGCCCAAAGCCCTAGAAGCCGTAAGCATCACAACCCTAAACCCTAAACCCTGAAGAGCTCAACTAGGTAATTAGGTGTCTCTCAAAGTTCAGGATCCTCGACTTGCACTCACCTAAACCAAAAAGCCCCAAGCCCTCAACCCTGAACCCCTCAACCTGAAGCAGCGAAAGGAAACCCATGACAAGAGCCTCCCAAAGGGTCCATGTAGGTATATGGTATATACTTAGGGGCCAAAGGGGTTCCCATATACCTACTTTAAGGGCTAAGTATATACCCCTAAACCCTAAACGCTAAACCCTAAACCCTAAACCCTAAACCCTAAACTACCATATAGCTACATGGACCCTTTGGGCCCAGGCATGGTCCATCTTCTTGACATCAATCGTCCGCCACCCAGATTTTTTCTGAGTTTAGGGTTTAGGGTTTAGGGATAATAAGGGAAATGTGGGTGTGAAGGTTCAGGGTTTAGGGTTTAGGGAATATTGGGTTTTAGGGGTGTACAGGTTCAGGTTCGGACTTGCAAGTAGGTTTTGAGCGGCTTTAGGGTTTAGGGGCGTGTTCCCGTTGTCACTTTTGGCCTGTAGATGCAATTTGAATTTGTCTGGGCTTGAAGGTATATAGTTTGGGTACTGCCCCCCACCCAGTAACAGTCTATACCAGGGGTCCTGTTAAGGGCTATATATAACTATATTATAAATGTTATCCAGCTGTTACTGAGTGGGGGCAGTACCCAATATATGGTGCTTAGGTTTTAGGACTCGAGGTGGGGACTATGTCTCTAATCAAACTACGTAATGAACAAGACAGTAGAAGATGAAATGTAACTCGGGGTTTACAGGGGTAACCCAAAACCCTAAACCCAAAACCCATTCAGCAGGGAAGGAACTGACAAGAAAATGGAAACTACAACTACTTCTTGGGAACTGTTACTGTTGAGGAGCTTAATGTAATTTTCTGCTGTACATATATAACATAGAAAGTACTAAGCTTCCTTCCTTATATACCAGCCACATAATGCAAAATTCCTTAACAGCAGCCCAGTCCTATGGAGTTTCCCGAAAGAAGGGTTCTGTGTTCAGTGGGCACTAGCTGTAATTTCACGCCGTTCTGTCAGCCTTCTACGGATACCCTGAAGCTTAAACTGTAGACTTTAGACCCTTGGGTTCAAGGTCCCAAAAGTTCGAGGACGCATGAGGTAATTACATGTTTCAGCCTATTTTTGAGCGACGACTTGGGGAGTTGAACGAACCATATGGGGTTGTAAGTTTGTTCCAAATCAGGGGCCTCTTCCTGGAAGTTCCTGAGATACGGAATCCCGTTTCTGCAAAGGGTTTCGGGTTTACCCTAGGGATCCGAATAGCCCTATGTAGGTAATATTTACACACTTCAGGGCCCAATGTAGGTATTATTTGTATACTTGGATCCCTATATAGCCGCTTTTATAGCCACAG